GCTGGGGGTGCTGAGCCTGGGGGTGTGGAGCCTGGGGGTGTGGAGCCTGGGGGTGCTGAGCCTGGGGGTGTGGAGCCTGGGGGTGTGGAGCCTGGGGGTGTGGAGCCTGGGGGTGTGGAGCCTGGGGGTGTGGAGCCTGGGGGTGCTGAGCCTGGGGGTGTGGAGCCTGGGGGTGTGGAGCCTCGTGGTGCTGAGCCGCAGAGTCCGGAGTCTAGGGGTTCTGGGTCTGGAGGTACTGGCCCTGGGAGTCCTGCTCCTGGAGGAGCCCTCTCCTCGGAGGAGCTGCGTACGTGGTACTTAGAGTACTGCAGCCTCCGGAGAGGTTCCACTCGTGCCGGACGTACTGCTGGGACTGGTACTAGTGCTTCTTCTCCCGTTAGGGAGCTCCCCTCCCGCGAGCGGATCCGTGAGTGGTACGAGCGGCGCTGCACTCTTTAGAGTGGCGTGCCTCGTGTTGCCGACCCCACTGCCGTTGGAGATGCTGCTGGTGCTGAGGACCCGGGCGTTGGAGCTGCCGCTGGTGCTGCAGACCCGGGCGTTGGAGCTGCTGCTGGTGCTGAGGACCCGGGCGTTGGAGCTGCTGCTGGTGCTGAGGACCCGGGCGTTGGAGCTGCCGCTGGTGCTGCAGACCCGGGCGTTGGAGCTGCTGCTGGTGCTGAGGACCCGAGCGTTGGAGCTGCCGCTGGTGCTGCGGACCCGGGAGCTGGAGCTGTTGCTGGTGCTGGGGACCCGGGCGTTGGAGCTGCCGCTGGTGCTGCGGACCCGGGCGTTGGAGATGTTGCAGGTGCTGAGGACCCGGGCGTTGGAGCTGCCGCTGGTGATGCGGACCCGGGCGTTGGAGCTGTTGCTGGTGCTGAGGACCCGGGTGTTGGAGCTGCTTCTGGTACTGCGGACCCTGGGGCGAGTGTTCCTGCTGACTCTGGTGTCGCTGCTCGGTCCCGGCCGTACTTCGTTCCGCTCCTACAGCAGGTTCTTGGTCAGCTCCCTCCTCCTTGTCCTCCTCTCTCCTTAGCGTGTCCTCTGTCTGTCCAGCTGCAGTCGCAGCTACCGTCTGCCTCCTCTCTCCCTGGTCCTGCTCCTTACACTGGTCCGACTGGAGGTCTTACTGAGCGTCGTGAGCCTGAGTCTCGCCCTGCGTCACATGTCCGCACTGCTCTCTCTAGCAGTCGTGTCCAGCGTCAGAGTCTTCTTGTTGTCCCAGGCACTCACCGGATGGCGCTTCGTCCGTCCACTACTCCACAGCGTGTCCCACTGCCGTCTCCTCCTGCTTCTTCTCTTCCTGCTCTTGCTGACCCTGGGTCAGACTCTCTTCGTGCTGCCAGTCCTACTGTCACGCGTCTCCTGGCTACTGTTGTCACTGACCCTTCCTTTGAGTCTGCTGCTGCGTCTGCCTTAGTTGCTGAGCTTGTCGACTTTGCTGCTCGCTGACGTCTAGACTACGCTGCTAGCCTAGTTGCTGAGTCTGAGTCTGTCTGTCCTCCGTCCGTCGGGGGTGAGTGTGCTCTTGGCACTGACGTCCTTGAGGACAGGCAGGAGGAGTTTGAGTGCTTTGCTGCCGCTTTGCCCCATCTCGTGTCCATGCTTGTTGCCCCTAAGGGAGACCCGGATGCACCAGACATCCCGACCCCACGCTCTTACGCAGAGGCGATGGCCGGTCCCTACTCCTCTCAGTGGCAGTCAGCCATGGACACAGAGATGGCTTCCTGGAAGTCCACAGGCACCTACGTCGACGAGGTTCCTCCACCTGGGGCGAACATCGTCAGTGGCATGTGGATTTTCAGGGTGAAGCGGCCGCCGGGCTCTCCGCCTGTCTTCAAGGCGCGTTACGTTGCACGAGGCTTCAGTCAGCGAGAGGGAGTTGACTTCTTCAAGACCTTCTCCCCGACCCCGAAGATGACCACTCTTCGAGTTCTGCTGCACGTCGCCGCTCAGCGTGACTACGAGCTCCACTCGCTTGACTTCAGCACTGCTTTCCTGCAGGGCAGCCTGCACGAGGAGATCTGGCTGCGTCGTCCACCTTGCTTCACTGGGTCGTTCCCTCCTGGTACCCAGTGGAGCCTCCGACGGCCAGTCTACGGTCTCCGCCAGGCGCCTCGTGAGTGGCACGACACACTGAGGACTACGCTTGCGGCTCTTGGGTTCGCGCCTTCTACTGCTGACCCGTCGCTGTTTCTGCGCACCGACACCTCACTGCCGCCGTTCTACGTCCTTGTGTACGTTGACGACTTGGTCTTTGCTACTGCTGACACTGTGGCACTCGCCCACGTGAAGTCGGAGCTGCAGAAGAGACACACGTGCACAGACCTGGGTGAACTGACAAGCTATCTTGGCTTGCGGATCACCCGGGACAGAGCACGCCGCACCATCACCTTGACTCAGTCACACATGGTGCAGCAGGTCCTTCAGCGCTTCCGCTTCACATACTCCTCGCCTCAGCCCACTCCTCTGCCTACGGGTCACTCGCTCTCAGCTCTGCCTTCGGATGAGTCCGTAGAGCCGAGTGGCCTGTATCCAGAGTTTGTGGGTTGCCTCATGTACCTGATGACCTGCACTCGACCAGACCTTGCATACCCTCTCAGCATTCTTGCACGCTATGTCGCTCCCGGCCGTTACCGGAAGGAGCACATGGATGCAGCTAAGAGGGTGTTGCGTTACTTGTGCAGTACGTCGGGCATGGGGCTAGTGCTTGGAGGGCGAGTCCCAGTTGTTCTCACTGGGCACTCAGACGCTTCTTGGGCAGACGACCAGGCTACTCAGCGGTCGTCTCAGGGTTACTCCTTCAGTCTTGGCTCTGGTTCTGTTTCTTGGCGTTCTACTCGCTCTTCTTCTGTTCTCAGCTCCAGTTGTGAGGCTGAGATCTACGCCACAGCCATGGCGGCTCAGGAGCTACGATGGCTCACATACTTGCTGATCGACCTTGGAGAGCAGCCTCGTTCTCCTCCAGTGCTGTACGTCGACAACAAGGCAGCCATTGCCTTGTGTGAGGAGCACAGACTGGAGCACAGAACGAAGCACATTGCTCTGCGTTACTTCCTTGCTCGAGAGCTGCAGCAGCGTGGTCAGCTTCGCCTGCGTTATGTGGCCTCTGAGGCCAACACTGCTGATGTGTTCACCAAGGCTCTTCAGCCCTGTGACCATCAGCGCTTTTGCACTCTTCTAGGCCTTGTGCCTACTGGACCTCACTTGCTTACTTCTTGAGTCTGTTTGTACTGTGATCTCTATATATATACCTGCATGTTTACTCTTGTTAGGTTGTGATCATTGTACCTTTTGCTCTATTATAAACCTGCATGTGAACTGGTCTTGTGACCAGTTGCTTGTGCTCGGAATTTGTGTGGTATCCTTGAGATCCACCCTGAGCTTGTTTTACCTTGCTTTGCCTTGACTGGTCTTGTGACCCCTAGTTCTCCCCCACTTTGCCTATGGGGGTGTGTCAAACATTATATATGTTGTGTTAGTTTAGGCTACAGTGGGTTAGTCTATAGGGGGTACACAATTCTAGGGTTAGGTACTTGTACTCTTTTCACTGCTAGTTCATTCATTCCTGTTCAGTTATTCCAACAAAAACGGGGGGCCGCGCTCGGGCGGCTAGCGGGCTGCAAACGGGCAGCGTGAGAGGGAGGGCGCGCGAGGGCGCACTAGCAGAGAGGCGCACGAGGGCGCTAAAACGATGGGGCGCACGAGGGCGCTTCTAGCGGAACGGTGGGCCCTTAGGTACGCTGTCCTAGGTTCCTAACCTCGGCTCGTAATACCATGTCAGAATCAACAACTGTGTTTGCACTAGGAAAGTGGTGAGTACTAGTAGGAAACCCTAAACTTACTGTACCCCATAGTAACTACCCTACTACAGCCTAAGCAAACTTTTTAGAGTATGAGTTTGACAAGTTGATTATTCAAAAGCTAAGCAATTGACCTCCCCCCCCATGGTAGACAGGGGATGGCGGTAGCTTAGTTTTTGAGTCGTTAACTATCACGCATTTACATCATATACTCGTATGTGTGCATTTAAGTTAAGCATATCTCATTAAACATTATACATATTGAAACATATCTTGCATGATGCATTTTTACATCGTATCTCCAGCAAGTGTTACGAAAGGCTTTGTGTCAAGCGTTGTTTACGGTTGACACCAAGTGGAGCCGCGTATGAGCGGGGCTCCAGCCTGGTGTCAATGTTGGGCACATTGGACGATTTCCCACGATCTCATTGGTTGGTTTAGCTGGCACCAGGAGGGATAGTCCTCCATGTGTTTTCGAGTTGGTGTTATGACACTAGCCCCTCTTGACACTTGCTGGAGATACGACCTTATAACTTACATCATTACATTTATCGAAACATGCAATTATTTGCACTTATTATATGCATTTCATAACAGTCACGTAAGTGTCACTATATTATAAAACATGAACAAAAAAAATACTGCGAACAACCCTGCGATATTGCGCGAAACTACAATAACAAATTGAATGGTTCAATACTGCTAGAAAAGCATATCGCTTCTTAAGTTTTTTTTATCATTTACTGAAAAAAAGATGAAAAAATAAATTTGGCAAAAAGTTAGGTTACACCCAAAAATCTTGAACCTGAAATGTAAATTTCACGGAAACGTACGCCACTTGACCCGCCCGCATATTCTCCCTGCCCACCTCATGTTTGGCAATATGTCCAACCGCAGGGGTGTTAGAAGTTGTTGCCTCAACGGCGGAAGGGTGACGCCAGCCTTTCTCACAGCCGTTCAGGGCGTGTCGTTCGCGTCGCCGCTTCATCGCCCTCGTCGCGCCCCAGCCAGCGCCATGGCCACGTGAACAGGGGAGGGGATCCATACGAAACAGCGTGGCCGCGTGTGCTGCGCAGCAGCTCCAGAGGCGCGGGGTGAACGTGGCTGGCGCAAGGGAGAGGGGCGACGTGCAGCAGTGGCGGCAGGGAGAGGCGCGGGCGAGAGACGCGGAGGGAGGTACTAGTGGCGCGTGGCGGGTGCATGGAGTGAGCGCGGGGGCGCATGGAAGCGCGGGGTGTTCCGGTGGTGCTGCTGTCCGCCGTTGCTCTTGCGGGCTTGCTGGCGCTGCTGCTCTTCACCGGTGCGTGCGCTCACTGCGGTCGTGGCAACACGCATTGTCCACACACCTGCGCCCTCTCTGTGCTCACCAGCATAACGGATGATGATGTAGCGGGGTGCTACGCACGAGTGTGCACCCTCGCCCAGTTGGTAGTGGCGAAGCCGAGTGGTCGGCGGGATTGCATGTAGCAATCCGTAGTGGTTACCATGTGTTGCTTTAGGGCGTTGCGTGGTGTCATTACCGTGTCTGTCCTTCCAAGTTAAGTGTGGTCATGCACGCATCCAGCGTCCGATACGCGTTTATATGCTGCACGCTGAAAGCTCCATGGTCTGGACGCTGTGTTTACGCTTGGCCGGGCAGGGAAAGATTTCTCAGGGCAGGTGCAAAAGTAGATAGGGGAGAGGGGGAAAAGGTGATGGGAAAACAAAACGCCCCCACATCAGAACATTTGATTCTATCCATAGAAATGCTTCCGTGTCGTTCCAACCAAGCTCGCCCATTCGTTGAGGGTGGTGCTGCTTCGTTCGTCTCATGCAGTGCAACCTGTGCTCCTCTCATGCAAGTTCTCCTCCCCCTCCTGCCTCCTGCCTCGTGCCTTGTGCTGCGCGCTTTACTGAGTCATGCATGCAGACTACCCGGCATCATCAGTAGCGCTGCTGCAAGAGTGGGTGTCAGTAGCACCACAGCCCACTCCCCCTCTCCCCCCACCGCAACCCCCTGCCGTTGACGCGCACGCCCTGCCGCTGTCCTGCCACGCGTGCCCGGCGTGCCCTCTCTACACAGGCGGCTGGACCCCCTGTGCGCATGTGGATGGGTTCACTCAGCAGGGCGGGCAGGGGATGGACGCCAGCAGCAGCAGCAGCAGCAGCAGCAGCAGCAGCAGCAGCAGCAGCAGCAGCAGCAGCAGCAGCGAGGGGTGTGACGAGGCAGCGCGCTACTCTCGCGCCTCCTGCCCGCTGCTGCACCCCACCATGGACTGCCGCGTGCCCGGCCGCCCTGCCAGCATGGCACGCTACGACCACTACTGCTGGCGCCCCCATGCCTGCCACCTGCCGCTCTTTGACCCCGCTGACTTCCTGCACCGGTCAGCCCCCAACTTGTTTCGCCCGTGATCCTTGTCTCGCTTCACTCCAGCCTCGTCCACTCTCTCCAATGACTCGCTGCAGGCAATCCTCATTGCCTTTGCTCTGTTCCTCCTCGTCTCTTCCTTCCTTCCCACATTCCCTCCCTTTCTCTCCTGGCTGGCAGGTTCCGCAACCGAGTGATAGCATTCATAGGGGACTCCATGGCCCAGCAGCAGTTCGTCTCCCTCATGTGCCTCCTCCTCACCCCCCCTCGCTCCCCCTCCTCCACCACCGCACACAATACCACCGCCAACCCCGACACCACCGCCACAAGCACCAGCAGTACCACTACTGTTTTCGCTGGCCGCAGCAGCAACGGAATCAAGTCGAACAGCAGCAGCAGCCCTTCCCGACCCACCTTTCGTCCTGTGTCTAAGAAGTTTCAGCTGAGCTGGGAGGCAGGCTGGCAGGGGTGGAACGGCATAGCATACCGATTGTTGGAGTTCAACACCACCATCCTGCACAAGTGGACCACCTCTCTTTGTCACATGGCAGTCAACGACTGGTCGAACGCATCGCAGGCGCATGCAGTGCATCTGGACAGGCCGGACGAGTTCCTGCAGGCGTACCTGCCTCAGATAGACCTCCTCGTGCTCAACACTGGCCCGCACTGGTCGCGGTAACCACGGGTGCTTTCCCGCCCTGCCTGCTGCCTCTGCACATTGTGCCACCTTCGTTGCTGCTGGGCATCAGCATGGGCTGCTGGCCCTTGTGCTGCTGCTTCGCTGCGAACTTTCTGTTCCTTCTCCTTCTCGGGTCTCTGCACTTGTTTCTTCTCCCTATGTTCCTCTTCCTCACTTCCTTGCCCTCCCGTGTTTCTCAATGATTCCTTTTCCTCTCCCACGTTATCCCCATCCTGTCTGCTTCAGTTTCTGCTCTCCACCCGTACTTCTTTCCCTGTGCTCCCATCATAACCTCCCATCATAACCTCCCATCATAACCTCCCATTATAACCTCCCATCATAACCTCCCATTATAACCTCTCATCCTAACCTCCCATCATAACAACGCATCATAACCTCTCGTAAACTCCCTTCGTAACCTCTCCTTCCCCCCATGCCTTCTCCATATCCCAGGTGGGAGGTAGCCGACTATCACTGGCGCTTCCACGTGAGCAGCCAGCCTGTGAGCCCTGAGCAGCAGCGCAAGCTGGAGTCAAACCCTCTCCTTGGCGCCTACACAGCGCTGCGCACCACCGTTGCCTGGATCTTGAAGCATGGGAGAAGGGGAGGGGGGGGGGAGGACGGGGATGCGGCTGGACAGCTTGGGAGAGATGCGCACAGTGGGGAGAAAGGGACGTACCGTGGGGCTGGGAGTGATGGAGTCAGTGCTGCTGGGAAGGGTGTTTTTGGAAACGAATTCAAGGAGGCAGTTGAACGGGCGGGTGGCGTGGAGGGGGTGGGTGGAACGTGCAAGGGGGGTGGCGGGGGCAGGGCGCTCATGGTGGTGGTGCTGGGGCAGCCGTCAGTGCACACCAACGGCTCCGACGCCGGCTGCCATACCCTGCCCGTGAGACTGACGAAGGGCATGTTGGGATGGGAGGAGTAGGTTTGTTGTGGGCCATACATGCAGCCTGTCTTGACTCCTGCTGTTGGGCTGGCTGTTCTGTTAGTGCTTGTGAATCAGGGAGGGCAGGCTGGATGCTGGAAGGTAGGGGAATTCATGTGCGTCGAGCATGGCATGTCTTGTGTGGCTCGTTACAAACAAGCATGTGTGGCTCTCGTCATGTGTTAGTGCACAATAGTGTGCTCCGAATCAGCCACTCTTGTCACATGCATCTGTAGCATGTCTCCATCCGTGCTGAGCCTCTTTTCTCAACTACAACCCACATCCCTCCTTTTGTTCCACGGCCTTCCCCACCATGCTGCTCCCAGCCGTTTCTAACAGCACGGGAGGTTGAGCAGCTTTCATTTTTGTCCCGGGACTGGTTTGCAGAGGCAGCAGTTGCAGACGCCATTGCAGCACACGCAGCAGCAGTAAATGCCGAAGCAGCAGCATTCGGTGATCCAGCAGCCGATTCAGAACCAATCCCCCGTGACACCTCCGTTTCTATTCCTGACTACCTCCCGGAACCCCGCACTCCATGGCCAGCATCCTCCATGCGGCCACGCGCCTCTCTGCCTGTGCACCTGCTTGATGTCACCGGCCTCACGTCCACACGCCCTGACGCACACAAGTCCAAGTGGCACGCGGGAGACAACAGCAGTGACGGCGAGCAGGGTGACTGCGTGCACTGGTGCCTGCCGGGCGTACCTGATGTCTGGAACGACCTGCTTTATTCACATGTGGTGCGCAGCGGCTGCTTCCCGCTCAGCAATTACGGGTGACTCACCACTCACTGCTAACCACCGCTGACCATTGACCAGGTGGCGGTGGGTGGAACTGCATGTGATATGCTTGTCCCTGTGCTGCCATTGTGAGCTTGTGGTAGTGTTCGACGTGTCTGCGTAGTTCTCTCAGAAGCGGCAGGAAGCATCACATTCATTAGCCACGCCAGTCGCCGGCCGCCCTGGGGCATACCGTACCGTCATACCCCGGATATACCCCCATGGGGGGCAATAATAAAGCATGTTTTTTTAGGGGGGTGGGCTTGTAATCGAGTAAATTTATAAGCGCCGGCGTTTATAAAATGACATATATGTTTTTATATATTTTTGAACACCAAACTGTAGATATCGTGCTTGCCTTTTCAATCAAGTCGAAGTTACATGGGGTCGTCTGTGAAATTCTCGCGCGCAGGGAGGTACACCCAATCTGACTCACATCCAGCTCCTGACAGCTCATGACAGCTCCTGCTGACTGGACCCGAATCCAATGCAGGGTCCGAATGTGAAGGGAACCGAATCTGCAAAACATCTGCCTGCTAAAGTAGAAATCGTTAAAGTGTTTTGAACACATTTCAAAAAATTAAGTTTACGTGCGCTTATAATAAAACACGTTTTTTCAGGGGGTGCGCTTATAATCGAGCAGGGGATATAAGCGCCACACGCCAATTAAAAGCGCCAGTCGCTTATCCGAGGGTGGCGCTTATATCCGGGGTATGACGGTATGTGCCCCTCCCGCTACTGTTTGGCCTGAGTGAATATGTTCTGAACAGAAACAAGTCTTTTTTTGACTACAGAGTATTGCCTATTCTCAGTTTTTTTCCAGGAAAAAACGCTTCCTTTCCTCCCTTTCCCGCCTCTCATTTACCAACCCCCACACTCGTCCCTGTTGGGCTGAGAAAAGCCCTTAGAATCTTTACAAGGCTAAACTCTGAAAAGAAGTATTGTAGTTGCGGAACCGTTTCAAATGATGAAAAGTTGAACCACCTTGCGCTAGTATGTGAGGGCAAGATAGATTAATTAAAGCAAGAAGATACAAGGTTTTATAAGAGTACAAGGAATATGAAAAGAGGCAACTAGTAACCGTTTTACTGTTACTGTTGCGGTTCGATATAGTACCGTAAGCCCCCGGATAGAAGCGCAGGCCTCGGATAAGCGCCGGCGCTTGTAAAAGGATGAGGGCGCTTATATCCGGTCTTCGATTATAAGCGCACCCCCTAGAAAAAGATGATTTATTATAAGCGCATGTTTGTTTTTCATTTGAAAACCTTTCAAATTTCAGAAACGAGTTTCACATTATCAGGGAAACGAACTACAATTTCGATTTCCCACACTCTGAACTCACTTTTTGCGCGTTTAGTTAGCATGTGCTGTAATTTTGTCAGTGTGAGCTGGCAGGGAATCATTCCCTGCCAAGCTGCGCGAGAATCAGATTTGCGACCCTAAATGTTTTCGACTCGATTACGATCGGCGGAACGAGATATACAGTTTGGTGTAAAACAAATATATATTCTTTTTGCCGTTTTATAAGCGCCGGCGCTTATAAAATTCCTCAATTATAAGCGCACCTCCTAAAAAACAGTGTTTTTTTATACCCCCAGGGGCGCTTCTATCTGGGGGCTCACGCTAACGACTCGGGCAACTTGTCAAATGTTATCTTATGCTCTAGGCTCTAGTGGGGTGCTCTATAGCGAGTACAACCCTTCTAGGGTTTGCTATTTGTATCCCCATTCTTGCTAGTGCAACCCTCATCTCTCTTCAAACTTTTAACATGGTATCAGAGCGAGTCGATCCCCTGGATCGATCCTGTGGGTGGGCTTACCACCTCCTAGCTTCCGCTGCAACTCCTATGTGAGAGTACGACGGCTTATGCCTGCTATGCTTGCTTGCCTAGACTTTATTACGCTATATCTAGCTTGGGTTTTTATTTATCATGCATAGATATGCTTGATTTCCTAGGTTAGGTGCATTCCTATATATTATTATAGTTATAGCACCGAACCAGGTTACGTGTACCGAACTCAAGCCTATTCGGTTTCCACCGAATTTCTTTTTACTGAGTTCGGGAAGGTTATGTTCGGGGCGCTTCGCGACCCTCAGAACATTCGCGTAACACCTGGGTAACTGGCCTTGTGTCGAGCCTATATATAGCCTCGTGTTGTACCCAGGTGATCATTCAATTACAATTCTCTTTTCTGAGCTCGATCCTAGATCCTCACACTTGGTAATCAGAGCCTGTTCGAAGCGAAGTTTTTCTACCGCTAAAACCTAGCTTTTAAAACCGCGGGGGCGACGACGGAAAGCGCCGATTTCGGGTACGTAAACCAGTTCCGCGCTATTTTCTAACGTCCCCCTCGAACCGGTTTTCGAACACTCCTCAGGTCCAGAAGCGAAAAAGTTGGAATTTCGACCGTCGGATCGATTCGAATCTCAACGGCCCTGAGAATTTCGACCAAAAAGGTTGGAATTTGGAACGTCGGATCGAATTTCTTCTCAACGGCCGAGATCGGACGCGAATTTCGACTAAGGGAGAATTACGCCTAAGTGGCCGGGAGGCAGCAGGTTCTTGGTCTTACACCTTCTCCTGGTCCTCCTCCTCCTCCCTTAGAGGGTCCACAACCTGTCTCGTCACAGTCACAGCTACTGCCTGCCTCCCCTTTGCCTGCTCCTTCTCCCTACGCTGGTCCGACTGGAGGTCTTACTGAGCGTCGTGAGCCTGCGTCTCGTCCTGCGTCGCCTGTTCGTCCTGCGCGCACTAGTGGTCGCGGTTCGCGTCACCGTCCTCCTCCTGTCCTTGGCACGCACCGGATGTCTCTGCGTCCGTCCACTGCTCCTCTGCGTGCCCCTTTGCTTTCTCCTCCTGCTTCCTCTCTGCCTGCTCTTGCCGACCCGGCGTCGGACTCTCTTCGTGCTGCCAGTCCTACTGTCACGCGTCTCCTTGCTATTGCTGTCACTGACCCTTCTTTCGAGTCTTCTGCTGCGTCTGCCCTTGTCACTGAGCTCGTCGACTTTGCTGCGCGCTGTCGTCTAGACTACGCTGCTAGTCTTGTCGCTGCGTCTGAGTCTGCCTGTCCTCCGTCCATCGGGGGTGAGTGTGCCCTTGGCACGGACGTCCTTGAGGACAGGCAAGAGGAGTTCCAGTGTCTGGCCGCCGCTTCACCTCATCTCGCGTCTGTACTGCTAGCCCCTGAGGGAGACCCGGATGCACTTGACATCCCGACTCCGCGCTCTTACGCGGAGGCGATAGAGGGTCCCTACTCCTCTCACTGGCAGGCAGCTATGGATGCAGAGATGGCTTCCTGGAAGTCCACAGGCACCTACGTTGACGCTGTTCCCCCTCCAGGGGCGAACATTGTCAGTGGCATGTGGATCTTCAGGGTGAAGCGGCCACCGGGTTCTCCGCCTGTCTTCAAGGCGCGTTACGTGGCTCGTGGCTTCAGTCAGCGGAAGGGAGTTGACTACTTTCAGACCTTCTCCCCCACCTCGAAGATGACCACTCTTCGGGTACTGCTGCACGTTGCTGCTCACCGTGACTACGAGCTGCACTCTCTCGACTTCAGCACAGCTTTCTTGCAGGGCAGCCTGCACGAGGAGATCTGGCTGCGTCGCCCACCTGGCTTCACTGGGTCGTTCCCTCCTGGTACCTAGTGGAGTCTCCGGCGTCCAGTCTACGGTCTCCGACAGGCGCCACGTGAGTGGCACGACACACTGAGGACTACGCTGGCGGCACTTGGGTTTGCTCCTTCTACTGCCGACCCGTCGCTGTTTCTGCGCACCGACACCTCTCTGCCGCCGTTCTACATCCTCGTGTACGTCGACGACTTGGTCTTTGCCACAGCTGACACTGCTGGACTCGCCTACGTGAAGTCCGAGCTGCAGAAGAGACACACGTGTACTGACCTGGGTGAACTGCGCAGCTACCTTGGCTTGCAGATCACCCGGGACAGAGCACGCCGCACCATTACCCTGACTCAGTCACACATGGTGCAGCAGGTCCTTCAGCGCTTCGGCTTCACGTACTCCTCGCCTCAGGCCACTCCTCTGCCTACTCGCCACTTGCTCTCAGCTCTGCCTTCGGATGAGTCCGTAGAGTCGAGTGGCCCGTATGCAGAGCTTGTTGGCTGCCTCATGTACCTGATGACCTGCACACGACCTGACCTTGCATACCCTCTTAGCATTCTCGCACGCTATGTTGCTCCTGGGAGACACCGACCAGAGCACATGGCTGCAGCGAAGAGGGTGTTGCGCTACTTGTGCAGTACGTCGGGCATGGGACTAGTGCTTGGAGGGCGCAGTCCAGTGGTCCTCACTGGGCACGCGGACGCTTCTTGGGCTGACGACCAGGCTACGCAGCGGTCGTCACAGGGTTACACCTTCAGCCTTGGTTCCGGCTCTGTTTCGTGGCGAGCTACCCGCTCGTCTTCTGTTCTTGGCTCCAGTTGTGAGGCTGAGATCTACGCCGGGGCTATGGCTGCACAGGAGTTACGCTGGCTCACCTACCTGCTGACCGACCTTGGAGAGCAGCCTCGTTCTCCTCCAGTCCTGTACGTAGACAACAAGGCCATGCTGGCCTTGTGTCGAGAGCAGCGACTGGAGCATGCTTTGCTTTGGTTGACTGGTCTTGTGACCCCTTGTTCTCCCCCACTTTGCCTATGGGGGTGTGTCAGAGTATTATGACTGATGCATGTTTGTAGGCTATAGTGGGGTAGCACATATGGGGTACAGCTTTCTAGGGTTGTATTTGTACCCAACTCTGACTTAGTCATTTCATTCCTCTTCATTCTTTTCACATGGTATAGAGCGGGTCCCTCCT